ATGAGAAGAACTGGTCTATGAATGTAAAAACTATAGGACTGTGGAAAACTACCTTGTTAAAGGGGTTTTACCCCTAAAAAAGGCCAAATTACTTGCAGATGTCTTAGAACAATGGTGGAAACAGCTTTGTACTGGGCAATTCCATGCAAATGTCATCCTTACCATGAAAAAATTTAGTTTTTACCTAAAGATCAAAACCCTTTTTAAGTTGTCCATTTAGGTCTGTAATATACTGTATTAATGTGCTGTACCAGAAACTTTAAGAAAATTGCCTTGTTTTTTCACCACATATGAGGTGAGCAACAATATGTTTTCAAAAGAGGGATCAAAGACCCCCCACCCCCGACATTTCATCCCACTACTTTGGGAACAACCATAATAATGCGTTACGGATGCTTCATATTAAATCATATGCATATGACTATTGCTGTGATCTGTTTCAGGCGTACCATATATCAGTGCATATCCAATAATCGCAATAATATTTGTGCTTTGTAGGGGTGTAACGATACACGTATTCGTATTGAACCGTTCGGTACGAGCCGAGGCTTTCGGTTCAGTTTTCGGTACGCATTTTTGGATCCTAGAGGGATGAAGCACGATCCCCTAAAGTAAAAAAAAAACACCTTGTTTATTTGAGTTTCTGTTTCAACCATAGTTGAATATGACCCTTCTGAATTGAATATGACAAATAGGATACCCTACTCGAGCACATGGAAATGAAGGCTACAAGACTATAAGTGTGCTATTTGGCATAGGTTTTGTTATGTCATGTTAAACTGGGTAACTCCGCCCACTATTAAATCTCATCGGTCCAAAATCCCACTCCATCTTGGTGTATATTGAACATCAATTATGTTTAAACGGCTTTGATTTGGGCACCCTTTGGGTTTACTTTAAATTGACCTGACCTTGACCACAAGTTGATGCATCCCTATGGTGAAAGCCAAACCATTATCCTTCAAACACACAAAGTCCTCCTCGGCAAGGAAAGGGTTCACCATCAAAGAAGCTTGTATCCAACTATCCCAGTTTCTCAATGGGACTTTGTTTACTTGTCCAGAAGCCAGTGGCTTCAGCATTCAGCTCCTGTGGTTTTTGATGGGCCCGGCGTATTGATCTGTTCCCAGTCCCAGAGGCGATGAATAATGAATGCACTCATTGTCATCCCTCACAGATCAGGTTTCATTTGTAAACAAAGCAACACTTGTAATTAGCCAGGGGTTTTTTCAATGAGCTCCTTGCAATCCCCAAAACTCAACAACACTCTTCAGGGGGCTCTGACATCCTGTGTGAATTCTGTGAGAGAGCTTTTCGATTACAAGAATAAGAAGTAGGGTTACACCTGGGTGATCGTGTGTCCACTGAGTGCTCTCATCTCTGTCTAAGGAACATCGGTATGCACTGGTTGCCATTGGTGATAAGATATTTAAGATAAGGATTTCTTCAAAACCATATGCAAAAATTTGTCATTTAAATTAGACTGCCCTATAGAGTTGAATTCGAATTCTGGACAGTCGAATTCTGGAAGTAAAATCTCATTCAACTTCTCCATAGAGTAATGCGTTTTTATGCATAAAACTTTAGGACAGATCTGCCATGAGCTCTGAAATTGTTATAGGATTATATTCGCTTGTAGAAGTCACAAGTGTGACTTAAACAACCACAACAAAAAGTGTAATTTCGCCAAAAATCCCATTGCGAATGATGCAACCGAATCAGTCTCTCTGCAATCTTATTTATATTCTTGTACACTACTATTCAAAAGTTTAAATTGAGTACGATTTTTTAAGAAAATGACTTTTATTTAGCAGTGATACATTAAATTGATCAAAAGTGACAATACAGGCAGTTGTAATGTCTAATAAATACTGTTCTTTTTCATCAAAAATTCCTAAATTCCTAAATCACGGTATCTTCAAAAATAGTAAGCAGCACAACTGTTTTCAACATTGGTAATAATCGAGCACTACATTTTTATACTGCCACATATTCGTATACTCAGTTCTGTTACTGTCAGTCTACTCGTTCAGTACTGCAACACCCAGCTTTCAAGGTTAAATTCTGCACATACACATCATTTAGATGCCAGGGAAGCAGTCTTAATATCGTGCTGGTGAGAAGGCTGGGACTTTGGCTCCAATTAAAAGAATAAATAGGAACATGCATACACACAAACTCACTGTCGTGTCTTCAGGCTTTGATTCAAAAGTAGCACACCTTATTATTGAACTACCCTATGAACGAGTGGGTGGAGTTTGCTGGCTCCACCCACCACCCCTTTCTGCTCTACACTAGCAACATGTGCTCAGTCAGCTCCTTTAGATCTGTTTAATGCCTTTGATGTTCATTACAACTAGCCTTTCCCATAATTTTTTTTGTAGGAAAAAATTAAAAACTGTCAGAAGGTGATGGAAGCATTTGAGCTGCTAAGCTTTAGTAATAATGCATTATATAAATGTACCTGATATATGACACCAACACTCAAACTGCCAGTGCCAAATAGGGCTGAAATTATATCAAAATGCCCGTCTCGGCTAGTATCCTCATAAACACGCACACACAGTCGGTTATATCTTAAGTGAACGTAAACAATTCGAGAAAGAAAATGGATATCATTATATTAAAGTCTTAAAGTGACAGTGGCCTAATAAACCTGCTGCCATCTGTGTCAATAACATTAATAAAACAGCAAAAGACCAGAAAATCACTTTTGTAGCTTTGACATACATTAATTATATTTAAATTATACAGTGATGAGTATGCAGTGTTATTTTACATTTGATCATTCAGTTTCTGTACCTGAATACTGTTACATGAAAAACAAAGCAGTTTATTTCATTTGTATCTTTGTTTTATAGTATTTATTTATGATTGTAATTTGTTTATTATATTCCATGCAGATGCACTCCTACACAAAATCATCCCAATCATTGTAGGATGATTACTTCTTTCCAAATAGAGCTATTCAAGCCATCTGGTGGAATTCTTTCCACAATCCACATCGCAATATATATCACAGAAAAATAAAATATCGCAATGTCAGGTTATTTTTTCAACATTGTGCAGCCCTAATTGACCATATGCATCATTATTACCTCTGTACTGACTTGTTGAACCTAGATAGTCAAAAGAACCAGGGGAAAGAGGATTAAAACTCAATGTAGACCTGACTCCCATTAAAAATCTACAGGACAAACACATTTTCTGGACAAAAATAAAAGATTTTCTACCTATATATTTTCCATCCACAGGTTAAATGAAGGTGCTGGCCCAACCCAACCACGTTCTCATGCTCTCTTTGAGAGATCTGCATTGAATAAATGCCACAACAGACTTAACCTAGTTGTTTTTCGTAACATATTTTGATGGGCCTGACTTAATGATTTTTTTTATACCACATTTTGTTCGAAAACTGTATGACTTTCATCTGTGGAACAGATATTTTGAGAAATGGCTGTTTTTTGTCCATACAATGGAAGTTGAACCAATGGGCTCAAATGTTGATTTGTTCCCAAAGTTCTTTAAAATTTCTTTTGTGTTTTACAAAAGAAAGTCATACAGGTTTGGACTGACATGTCGGTTAATAGACAGAACTTTCATTTTAGGGTGAACTAGGCCCATCCCTTTAAGAATCAGTGAAGTGGACCACTGAAAATAAACACCATTCCAATACAGCTTGTGACATAAATGCACCATCACTTCACTCAATGATAAGCTCCTAATATTTTGATTTTCAGCATAAATAGACGGGTAATTGGAATGAATCGCATAGCAGTCAAGTTTACTCAGACAGCTGATCTATGAAAATCTTCTTGAATGAATGATAGACACGATCTTTTAAAAAATGAATGCAAAACTTCACAAGTCTTGAGTTTGAACTTGAGAAACCACTGCAACGTGCAAATGAATCCAATTGCATCTAAAGATTTTTCTACCAACAAAAAGCATCTAGCAGCATGATTTTCTTTTCTGTAGCCTAGATTTTTGTTCTTATTCTGTCTTTATAGAGTTCTTTGACCCTTAAGACCGTGAAAGAGTATAATCGACATACAGGCAAGATGAGTCTGTGTGCCTAATTTGTAATATCTAAATTGTGAGTGATATTAAAAATTATATTAATTTGTAGAGTTGTCTGTAAACGGAAGGAACTGTTTTGGTTCAAAGACAACACGCTTCAGTGACATGGATTAGGGTAAATCAAGAGCCAATGTAGAAGTTCCACACAAAAAAAGAATAGTAGCCTTAAATATCCATCGTCATTACGTTTACAACAGTCAAGGATCTGACCTGCTTTTAAATTAAAAGTAGATATTTTGAAGATGAAACATTTCGAGAGACTAGGCTAAGAAATGAGTTTCAAAGACTAAGAGATGCCTCCATCCTTGTAAAAAAATAAATAAATCATCATACTGCATCATCAGTTTTTCTACTGTCTTTTGTCGCGTCGCATTGTACGGCTCGCGTCCAGTGTAGACACAGTGTCACAGTTGAAAATTCAAATTAAGGCCTTATATAGTTTGCTTGCATTGTGTAAACAAAGAAGAAAAACAGTTATAAGATATTATTCCAAAGCAGAGGTTCTCAACTTTTGAGTCATGGACAGGAGGGAAAAACAATGTTAAAGGCAAATAATAAAATGCAGCTACTATACAGTATAACTGTGCACAGCTATGATAGCTAAATAGACTTCTAAAATGAAGGGGAAATGCTTCCTATATCATGTTGTCAGTGATTTCCAATACACATCCAATGTCTACTTGAGGATAAACATGATCCAGGTCTGACTCTGAATCTGGCCTGCTTTTAAATTGAACCAAAATGTGAAGATGAATTGCTAATGAGAAAAAACATTGTTCTCAAAACTTCGCATTGCATTACAGCAGTTAAAGGTCTCCCACAAAAGGCTAAATTCCTATCATCTTGCCAAAAAACTCATCCAGTTACCGGTTGCAAACTGATCACCCATCCCAAATAAAGCAGACCATGACATCACTTACCTGCAGCAGGTGAATCAGCGGTCACCATGGAGACGAACATCAGCAGCAGCACGCACGCGGTGACCCGACTACCTTCCTCCATCATTAGACCCTTAATTTTGTGAAACTCATGTTTGGTCCAAGGGGATCCGAGGAGACAATCCACGCGTTCAACTAGTCACCGTGAACTGCAGCAGATGAAGACAATACCACTGTTATTTAGGTCATGTTTTCAGTCCTCTTTTTGAACATGAATTCATGAATACTCCCGTAACATTATCTAACGATTTAATCATAAACCGAACAAATCACATCTTGCGTATCACTAAAACCCTAACTTTAATTAATAGCTGCAGATTTTAACCACTAAAATGCATTGCCATGCTGCCTCGCGCTGACTGAGTGACACTACAAGTGAAGTGCTCGTGCAGAGCGCAGACCGTACGGTTCCTTTGTTCCTTAACTTGTCTGACTCATTTTCACGAATCGGTTCTTTCAAACAATTCGTTTTAAAGAACCAGCTCAAAGAACGACAGTTACGTCATGGCGCAATTACGTCATCGCGTGGCCCCTGCAATCCTGGCGTGACATATTATAAGCTCTAAACGTTCCAGTAAAATTATTTACTGCTGTTTATTACACTTAAGGACACTTTTAACAGGTGTTTATTATAAAGTCCCAGCTGTTTGTTGCAGTCTGTTTCGTGTCTCCGTCATAAAACAGCAAATATTTCCAGTACGTTTACTAATATAATTTCTGCTTATGGACTTTTAAATTAACTTTGCCCTATTTATCAAATCCTGTACAAATCACTTCACTCATCTGTTCTCGGGCATGAATTGGAATTCCCACTCGAGAACCACCAGGAACGATCCCGGCAGATTCGTTAACGAATCATTTAGACTTGTTCAATAGATTCACCAAAAAGAACCAGTTCAAAAGCGCGATTCGTTTTCTTGAATCGGACATCTTTATCGTGCAATATCACACGAACCGAGTCTCGCAGAGATCCAAACATATTTGTATAGTGTGCTCCTTTCAAATGACTAAACTTACACATTGACATATAGCACACTGCATGCTTCAGAATCAATGTAAGTTAAAGACTAGGGCTTGTGAACTCACTGTGCGTTAAAACCCCGCTAAACGAGCGTGTTGCACGCGGATTAGGCTTCTAGTCGGGATTTGCAGTAACTGTTCTGTAATGGTTATGAGAGAAATACTTAGTAATTTTAGGATTTCACGGTGTTATTATAACTAGCTTGATTAACTATTGGAACTAAGAGGACATAATATTTCGGATGTGTTTCTGTATGCCACATAACGGAGTCTTTTTGAAAGAAATGATTGCAAACATCGTCTATATAACGTTACATGTTTGATGGTGCATTTAACTCGAGTTAACTTGTAGTTGCAAAATGTCTAGTAACTTTAACTTGCGGCTGAATCGGATTTATATCAGTTATTTTAAAGCAAAGAAAGACTTTTGTTTTAGCACATGCACAGCCTAGAAAAGCAACTCCTTACCTTTTAAAACCGAGTTACAGCGATCTGAAGTCGATAGTGTCCATATCCAGTTTCAGATCAGGATTAAATCTTCTTTTTTCCATGATTGCATGACACAACGTGTGATTTTCTTTTCATAAATGTCTGGACCCTGTTTGAACATCACTCACTTTCTCAGATGCAACCGCTCGGTGCTCGGGATTGCACTAAATCCTCCCCTGACAGCAGGATTTGGAGTCTCTTGTACGGGCTCTCCGGTCATTGGCTCCCCTCGCCGTCCTTCAGTAATCCGGGTTAGATTGACACCTCCGCCGGCGTCTGTGCTTTAACTGCAACGTGCTTTGTTACCGGATCTTGTGTGGCTGCATATTCTGCACCTGAACCAGATTTTTTTTTTTTAAGGAAGTTTTTACATGTTTGATTTTTCACAACCGAGGAGATTCTGAACACGATTAAACGATTCGCTACAAGAATGTGTTCGAGTTTGGTAATGTAACAGCACACCCTAGTGGTCACTGAGGGCAACGGCGTCTTTAAAATACTCATAAACAGACTACACTTTTCTATTGATTACATGTTATTCTCACAATGGCAGTGAGTTATTCACAATTCATTGATTCTACTTCTTTGTTATATTTTAAATGTTCCTAAAAGCTTACTGCTTATATACATGCAGAAGGTATTCCAGGTTTGTGAAATTACACATTACAGACCAGCCACTAGTCATGTGACTATCTCTGAAAACTGAGAATCACACAGCATTTGATCACTGAATTTACAGCCATTATTTCACTTTTAAGAAGCTTTTCTCAACATTGCAAATCTAATCAGCGCCTCATGAACACGTTCATTATTATTTTAATTAAGTCATTAACCATGTATTGTTGTCTTTGGAAAGCTTTTGTCTTACAAACACATTAAAATGTACAAATTTATGTCATTTCATACATGCAGTACAGGGATTCCCCAAATGTTTTGTTAGCCGAACCTCTTTGCCCTAAAATATTTACTTGAAGTAAGCCCTTAGATTTTAAGTTAATACGTTCGGTCAATAATAATATCAAGTCAATAATAATAATAAAATAAAGTTCACGAATCTCTGATGTCAGTAAATGGTCACATGACATGCAGGTAAAAACTATTTTTTAATCTTTTTTTAGTAAATGTTTTATTATGATTGTTCTATTTTAAACTTATTTATTTGAATTTTTTATGATTTAATTAATAGCTTTTCATTAAACTCACAAGCCCCAATTTGGGACACCCTGACATAGTCATATTTAATGCACTTCATGTTGATGATAACTAAGAATGGAATATATTTTCTCTCTCTTTTTATTTTTATATCAATATGGTACAAGATTATAAAAATTAAAATCAATGTGATAAACGAGTTAGGTCAAAAGTACTAAAAAAAAGTAATCAAAAAGTAGTCAGAAAACATTGACTAAAATAAGTCATGTACATTTAGCATGAATTGGATTAATTTTGGCATGTAATTTGGAATCAGTAACCGACTACAATTTGAGTAATCTACCCAGCAATATATGTATAAATGTATATACTGTATATATATGTAAATTATTTTTTATTGTACTTTCTTAGCTGTATTTGAAATTGATAAGTTCTCACCTTTAAATACTATGAATAATATGATGAACAATATGATTTTTTTTTTTGTCCTGTGTACAAAAAAAAAACAAAAAAAAAGATTGAGGCCACCAGAAGATAATTATTCTCTGGACTAAACAAGAAAGAAACTCACAATGACCGCATGAAAATACAAGACAGATGCCGTGACTTAACAGTTTAATGTAAATCCAAGACAAAGTGTGATTACATTTCTACACATATACAATATGCATATGTGAGCATACAAATTTCCTTTAATAACTCGATTCACCTTGGAGACCGAAAAATGATCAAAAGTAACAGTGAATAACAAGCTATAACATAGTTCACCACGACGCGAGCCCCTTCACACCCTACAGTTAGTAAATAGAACGATTAAAATAACTATATTCTTCTATAACCCCCAGGTTTGTTAAAAATCCTCCATGAATTTACACTGCTATCATTAGTTGTCGAAGCCTAATAAAATTCACTCGGTTTTTTTTCTACAACGAAAATTATTAAGAGAAGCACACAACATTTGTAATGGTAACACAAGCGCTTAGTAGCAAGTACTCAATTTTTAGGAGTTAAATCATTCTTATTATTGTCATTATTATATTCATTTTAACATTCTATAAAGCCAGTAAAATATCCATTCTCATAGCATACTTAATAATATTAGCCTAAGGTACAGGGTACATATAATGCTACGTTAACAGATTGAAATAATGAGACGTCACACTTCTTCAAATCTCCAATAAACAAAGCAAAATTATAATAATTATAATAAAAAAAAGGACAATAAACAAAGAAGTATACCTGGAAATACTGCAGCACACAATAGCTTTGACAACAACTAATGTGATACACACTACTGAGAAAACCATACAGCAGTCGACAAAAATCAGGGGTCGGGGGTCGGATGCTTTCTTAGGTCTTGAAACATTGTAGAAAAATATTTAGTTTTTACATTTGACTGTGAATGTTCACTGCTGTGCAAGTAGAAAATTGTTCACGTCTCCGATGGCTGCACAAACGGCTACGGTGCATCACAGCTACATAACAGGTTACTGTGGCGACTCGTGTGATGAGTGACGTTTCTGTACAAATAAGTTCACTTGCATTCACTGGTGTTTCTTATCTATTTGTGATATAGGTTACGTTTTACACGCTTGTAGTAATGTCACTCTGTAATACATACTCCTGACAGGAACTATGCAGTAGATTAAACAAACAAAGAAAGTTGAGCGATGAGTGTTCTTGGGCATAATGATTATTGTTTAGCTTTTTTTTTTTTTGGTTCTAAAACAACATGTGGAGATGGCCGTATTGTCATATTTGGCCTCTTAGCACATTCATTCAAGTTCAATGGTGCATTTAACCCCTAGTGCTTCTGTTTCAGCCCATAGATGTCAGGAAAAAATCCGATGGAAACAAGCAGAACAAAAGCTTCACAATTCTGGAAGTACTGTGGCCACTTCAGTGACAGAAAATAAACAAAAATCCATTGTGATTTCTGCAAGCTTTGAGTTAATTCACGATCATGTGCTTTAAAAGTGTTGATTTGGGTGCCATCGGACAGTTATCAGGGGTTTGACTGGCATGAGATTTCAGGAATGTTTTTCAATCCTTATAGTTGCTGAATCCATTGCTTCCTGTAACGTCGGACGTAGGATTTTGACTGGGTAACCCCAGGCTTCGCATAAAATCACCAATCCAGCACATATTCATGGTTCCTTAAAGCTTCGAGTGCAGTTAATAAAGGAGAAGGCAGTATTTTGACGAGACGGAAAACAAAATCGTAAATTCTTATTTCTAGCACATTTTGGTTGCATAATTTTCATTGATGTATACAGTTCAGACAAAGCCTGAATCTCAAAGAAAAAACAACAACACATCATTATGACTTCTGGTTCATAATTCATCCATTTACGTTCGTAGAGTGAATAGGGCTTTCTATGATTTCAATTACGAGTTAAAAAATCGAAATGCATTATTTTGCATGAGAATTAAAAACATTGTATTACTGATTGATCAAGTCATTCTAGTGAGTCGTGCATTTCAGTGATTACTATCCAGAGCAATCATCATATTTATCAGATATTTTAGTCTCAAATTTTACATTCATTTTGTACTCGTGACCAGTTTAAAGGTAGCAGTACTGATTCAATTCACAGGCCACTACATGAAGCACTAATTTATCTCTGTGATTCTTAAATATTTAGTTAAAACCAAATTAATAAAGCTTCCAAAAGCAGAAATTTAAAGCTGCAGTGTATAATTTCAGTGTCACTAGTAGTGGCACCAAACAGAATTGTATTCGAAACACTCCCAACTTTTCATTGGTTGGACTAACTGATAGCCACGCCCCCATCTCACACCATTGGTTGATCCAATGTAAAAGTGAAGCCATTTTTAAAGTTTAAGCCACAGTGTTTATACTCATCAGGAGTAAATAATTACACACCACAGCTTTAATAAATGAAATAAAGTGTGGCATTGACATTTTCTTTTTTCTAAAAAAAAATGTAAAGGCCTTATTTTTTACACAAATCCACTTATTAGATGCAAGATTGGGAGTTTTGTCCACACTAACACTGACAAAACGTATGAGAACGGTACAAAACACTGGATTACACTGTGTTAAAAGCAACTGCACTGAAATCTGAGAGAACATGAGAGTGCATTATTTGTGTCTTTTCTATTTTGCTTTTTAGTATGCCATTTAGAGGTTCCTTTCTGACACCGACCTGATCTAACCTTTTTTATTAATGTTTTTATTTTTCTAAATGTCAATGAAACTCACTCTTCCTTCTCCAGTACAGCAAGAGAGATGTCTGCACATCAATGACATGCTGAATTTCTTTGGTGGGAAGAACCAAAACTCCTTAAATGCCAGCGGAGTCCCAATTTGGTCGTACAGGTCGGTCCCTGTGAGGTGAGACAGACTGGAGACAACAGATCAGTGCAGTCAGAAATGGCTCCTTCCGGAATGGAATGTTTTATGGGAGTATCATCGAAGGAGCCTTTCTTAACTGTGTGCTTGAATGAGCATCCAACTTAAGCCTAAACAAACATACGCACAACAAAAACAACAAAACATCTATAGGGATCCTACGTCGTAACACACAGCCTAATGAATCAATCTGACAAGCTATCAAACCGAAGGCTCGGGTACAACGCAACTGGTGTGAGAGCTTGGCTGAGCACTTGGACAAAGTCTATGCTTCCTACCACGAGGGTCCACATATGAATATTAAACATCACAGTTACATATCGACCACCAGAAATCAAACAAATGATGCTTGACATATAACATAAAACAATAATAAACATCCACGAACATTATTGCAACACTCTCTATGAGAAAACAATATACCTAGTGAAGTAAAACAATAATATAGAAACATCTCAAAGTAAAAACTACTTCAAATGCAAGTTTTGTGGCGTGAGGGCAGAAGGGGATATATTTGATGTGCCCAACATAAAAACAAAACAAACACTGTGTCCTAACCAGGCACATAACCATCACAGCCAACCAGAACATGTCTGAAAATTTTGGACCAATGAGATTTCACTGTGGGCGGGGCTACCCAGCCCATCATCACAGACATAGGCTATACGCAAAATACAAAAACCCATGGATGTTATTTTTCTTTCCTTTTTATTTAGTTTAATTCAATT